GATGAATAAATAAACAACGTAATTAGTGTCCTCCCCGTTACAGCTTAATTCTGCAGGTCTGTTTATATTGGAATGTTTAAATATTTATTTTTACTCTTGAGATATTCTTTGGTAGCTTTCAAAGTTTTTCTTAAATCTCTTAATCAGTCAGTTATGTGCCATGCTTAGGCGATCATGTATCTTTCGATACATGACTGATGAGGCAGATTTTTTTTCTGCAGTAGGTTGCCATTTCTTTCTGCGCTAGACCAATTGTCATCCATACCTTTCCCAAGGGTATTAGCACGTAAGTGAATGTAATGGATTCGACTGGAATTTGAACTCGGTTCTCCGATTCCTCAATCCGAGTCTCTATCCATTACTCCACCGTGCCTCTAAACCTCTTAGTACGATGAAAAATTAGGAAGCGATATAATTAAATCTCTTAATACGAAATAAAAATTTTAAAATTCCCCATATAATATTAGGATTTTTTCTAAATCTCTTAATAATGCGAAGTAGAAAAATCCTAATATTATACGAGGAATTTTAAAATTTTTATTTCGTATTTAAATAATATTTGATTAATATCGCTAGCTAATTTTTGGACGTAAATCAGTCATAAGTAATCAATGAGTTTACGTCGAAGAAAGTAGGAAGCTATATAAAATATTATATACCAATAATTTTGTAACACACACTTTAAACCTAAAATAGGTGGACCATATATTGATATCCACAATAAATTTATCAATTTGCAAAGATCGTTTCAATTTAATTATTTTTATTACTTTTATACTAATTGGATCATATAACTGGAATGTTTCCATAGAAATATTCAAACGACTGCCTCTTCTGATATGAAATTTATTTTGATGTTATTTTTTGAGGCTTCTTAGCTGAATTATTTATCAGAGATTCTCCATAATATTGATTTCGTAGATTTAAATATTTTTAATTTAATTTTTTATTTAAGAAAAAAAAAGTTATATATGCAATAATAGTTCAAATTGTGACGATATATTTGTATATCAACTTGCTGTAATACTTAATACTTATGTTAAAATTGTATTGTCTAATTTAACTGTTTGGTATTTAAATTTAATTTTATAGTCTTCCATGGTCATGGAAAATAATATTCATATAAATCACATTATCATCACAAGGACCTCCCATCCCCACTCCAAAAATGCGTTGCTTACGACAGTTTCTTATTAAACACGTTGTTATTTGAAAACAGTTTGGGACTAATCCTAACAATATTTGCTGTGCTTCTTAAACTTAATGTATATATAAATGTTCCTTGATCTATCATATAATGTATCTATACACTCATGAAAGACTACAGAACTAAGTGAATATACCCAGTAAATGGGGAAATTCATTCCACATAAAAAAGTTGCCAAAATTCTTGATATTTGAAATTCTAAAAATAGTTAATCGATTAATTAATGACTAAGAGTAAAGCTGTTTGGTTTATTTCTTTGAAAAAAAAGTTTTTCGATTACCTCCCTTGAACTGAAGATACTCGCTTTTACCGTTGTAGTTGGAATTAACTTTTGTACGTTGATACGGCGGCTTTATTCTTTTAAAATTAGTAAATATTAATAAAAAAGAAAAAAGGTGAAAGAAATAGTTAACTAGAATAAGGAAATATATCAGAGTAGATTTAATGGTGTTTAACATATTTTTAAAGCAAATTTTTAAAACTCTTAATAATTGTTGAAATGCTATCCATTGGAATAACGTATGTTAAGTTCCTAAATTTTCTAGACGCTTCACTCAAACCAAAGATTTGCATATATTCTAAGTTAGATTAGAAATTTTACTTTGTTGCTATTATTATTTTCCTCAATGTAATCATTCAGCAAGTTACTTTTACTGGAGATCAAGTGACAGTTCGAATGGAATTTAGTGAAGCTGTCGTCTGGATGTCTTCATATCTCTATGTATAGTTCTTTACTCTCTTATAATAATCGCTTCAACTGACAAATATATATTGTACAAATCACCCCCCACCCTCTGGGGTGATAGATTTTTATTTTCAATCCTGAGAAACTGAAACGATGATTATTATTGATGAAACTTATGAAGCAAAAAAAAACAAAAAAAAACACTTCTTTTTTTATGTAAATATATGGTGGTTTGTAAAATCAAATGAAAGTAACAGAATTTGAAAATCCCGCGTAGAAGTGAAAACCCCACAGAATTGCGCGAATTATATGCGGACAATTCGCCAAGGATTACACACACAAATATTTGTGTGCGTAACTCTAACTCTTCAAATGTTGAATACATAAGTATTTGTAATTTCTATATTTCCATTTCTTCATCATATTAATTATATCATAATTGTCCATTATTCTAAAAACTCTTTTCTTTTATCACTTACACTTCTTTATCTATATTTTTTAATTTTTTTCTTTTTAAATATAACTTGGTAGTTTTTTTTTTTAATATAACGTGATTTAATCTTTTAAAGTTAAAAAGGGATAATTTATTTTATCTTATTTTTTTTTATTCTTTAATGAATGATTTTTTAAACATATTCTTACTTAGATTTAACATAAATTTTCACAATATGACTTATTTTTAATCTTTTTAATCTCATCATTAAGTATAATTTGTTATTTTTAATTAGGAACCTATATATATATATATATATATATATATTTGTGTGTGTGAAAAGTGTATATAAATAAATATATATATGTATAATTATTTATATATTATATGCGCGTTAGTACGATGACATAAGCGACGGAGTTTCCCCCACCACTTCCACAATAACACCAATACACGCAATCTACATAAACCCCAATTTTTAAAAAAATGAATCAGTTTGTCTGACGATCGCTAAAGCGTGAAACCCAGGGTCACAAACTCACATCTATCAACCAAATATATATATATATATATATATATATATATATATATATATTATAAAACTCCCTTTTTGGCTCTATTTTTAGTTTCAAATTAACAACTCATTGTTCATATAACTCCAATTTAATGTCATAAGGATAATATCCGGGTTTAATCTTATAAAACCTCTTCCCTTTAAGGCTAATACCTTTCACCCTCCCCCAACAACCGTTTCGGGCGTTTCGTCTGACTGAAACATCGAAATGGATAAATTCAGTATTAATTTTTCGACGGCTGTCAAAGTTAAACTTCTAATTTCGACACGAACACAGTCTATACACCGGGGTTGAATAAGACTGACATACTTTTTGTCGGTTGAAATAGATCTATACCCTCCCATATGAGATAATTTTGGATTTTGTTGTGTAATTATATATGTATGTTATTACTTAAACGTTATTTTAGTAGGCGCTCCGTATATATATTAAATAGTGTATTTAATTTCGTCTACCGGCAGAAATCTTATTAAAGAAAAATTATGTTCCGGTAGGATTTGAACATGGTAGTGCGTCAATGATCAAGCAAAGCTGAATAGTAACTTTAAACGCAAATCTTTCCTAGATTCTCGAAATATAAATAATTGTTCAGTTCCATATCAAAACGTAAACAAAAATACGATTTCTCAAATATTCAGGCCGGGAGAAGAAAATAAATATACTGTTTAATGAATAAAATTATTTAAAATTAAGCGTCTACTTAAATATGGGTATCCATTAAAAATAACGTCTAAGTAACAAAATATAACGGATTAATAAATAAAAATCGATCACTTATATATATTATATATATATATATATATATATATATATATATATATATATAGCCATCTTAGCTAATTGAATGACAAAATTTCGTCCTCTAGATGCATTAGTTGTCCGAGTTAAAAAAAAAAAAAAATGCTGCTTTAATTTACATAATTTACTCAGGTGAACATGTATAGAAAGTGCACTGATTTCTGAAGGTTCTATGGTAAAATTACGCCCAGGTTCTTACATTTCAACTTTCTAAATAATTCTGTCATCACACTGCGGGCTATTTAAAAATTACAGCGATAAAACCAAAATAAAAACGTTGGGAAACCGAATGAGATCTGCTGAGCTGTGCGTCTAGACACGTCAGACGCCAGAAATTTTACAATTTAAAATTTAGCGTTCCTACAATTTCAGCGTTTCCCCTCGACGGATAATTATAACCGATGTTTCCGTTTATATATCTCCCCCCTCCCGCTATATAATTCAATCAATAAAGATATTAATTTAATCTGTTTTAGAAGACGAGACACATTGCATAGATTTTTCATTCAATTAGATATATCAGCTTCTCCGTAAAACTGAAAGCGTCTACTTTCTCTACCTGTCATACTGAGAGATGTTTGTGAAAGAGACTAATACCTATGTATCTATTTAAATAAATGGTAAATAGGTGTTGGTCACATTTATGAGCACGCACGCACACACATACATACATACATATATATATATATATATATATATATATATATATATATATTAATAAAATAAAAACAAAAATACAAAGGAACTCCGGATTATGCACCCAACGTGTTCTTTTCTATTTTCTGCATACCTGCGCACTTATACACACCTATATATATATATATATATATATATATATATATATATATATATATATATATAAAATTACATAATAGAAAAATCAAAAATTACCTCATAAGTATAGACTTTTTTAACTAAAGTCAATGCGTTAGCTTTATTCAACTCTAATTGTGGACTGTATTCAGTGTCGGAACTAGAGATTTAAAATTTAAATGACAGCAATTGAAAAATTGATTCAAAGCCAACCCATCACATAGCAGACAACAGGAAAGTGGTAAGGGGAGGGCGGATGTTATTTGGCTTAAATGGAGAGAACCTACACAAATTCAACCCAGACATTAACTTTATCACCCCAAGTTGTGGTTATAAGAAAGATGAAGTGAAACCAAAGGAAGGCCGAAAAAAAGTGTAATTTTATAAAACGAAAATATTAATTGCTAATTATCTATATATAAAAAAATTGTTACCACTCAAATAAAATATAAGATTAGCACTAAATCGTTTTTAGATATTTATATTAAGAAAAAAAATATTTAAAACGAAAAAACAAATCTATCTATCTCCGTCTCTCTATCTCCATCTCTCTATCTCTCTATCTATCTATCTCTCTATCTCTCTATCTATCTCTCCATCTATCTCTCTATCTATCTCTCTATCTATCTCTATATATATCTATCTATCTATATATCTATCTCTCTATCTATCTCCATCTCTCTATCTATCTATCTCCATCTCCCCATCTCTCTATCTGTCTATCTCCATCTCCCCATCTCTCTATCTGTCTATCTCCATCTCCCCATCTCTATCTGTCTATCTCCATCTCCCCATCTCTCTATCTGTCTATCTCCATCTCCCCATCTCTATATCTATCTCCATCTCCCCATCTCTCTATCTGTCTATCTCCATCTCCCCATCTCTATCTGTCTATCTCCATCTCCCCATCTCTCATCTGTCTATCTCCATCTCCCCATCTCTCTATCTGTCTATCTCCATCTCCCCATCTCTCTATCTGTCTATCTCCATCTCCCCATCTCTCTATCTGTCTATCTCCATCTCCCCATCTCTATCTGTCTATCTCCATCTCCCCATCTATCTATCCATCTCCCATCTCTCCATCTCTCTATCTCCATCTCCCCATCTCCATCTCTCTATCCCCATCTATCTCATCTGTCTATCTCCATCTCCCCATCTCTCTATCTGTCTATCTCCATCTCCCCATCTCTATCTGTCTATCTCCATCTCCCCATCTCTCTATCTGTCTATCTCCATCTCCCCATCTCTCTATCTGTCTATCTCCATCTCCCCATCTCTCTATCTGTCTATCTCCATCTCCCATCTCTATCTGTCTATCTCCATCTCCCCATCTCTCTATCTGTCTATCTCCATCTCCCCCATCTCTCTATCTGTCTATCTCCATCTCCCCATCTCTATCTGTCTATCTCCATCTCCCCATCTCTCTATCTGTCTATCTCCATCTCCCCATCTCTCTATCTGTCTATCTCCATCTCCCCATCTCTATCTGTCTATCTCCATCTCCCCCATCTCTCTATCTGTCTATCTCCATCTCCCCATCTATCTCCATCTCCCATCTCTATCTCCATCTCTCCATCTCTATCTGTCTATCTCCATCTCCCCATCTCTCTATCTGTCATCTCCATCTCCCCATCTCTCTATCTGTCTATCCCCCATCTCCCCCATCTCTCTATCTGTCTATCTCCATCTCCCCATCTCTCTATCTGTCTATCTCCATCTCCCCATCTCTCTATCTGTCTATCTCCATCTCCCATCTCTCTATCTGTCTATCTCCATCTCCCCATCTCTCTATCTGTCTATCTCCATCTCCCCATCTCTATCTGTCTATCTCCATCTCCCCATCTCTCTATCTGTCTATCTCCATCTCCCCATCTCTATCTGTCTATCTCCATCTCCCCTCTCTCTATCTGTCTATCTCCATCTCCCCATCTCTCTATCTGTCTATCTATCTCCCCATCTCTCTATCTGTCTATCTCCATCTCCCCATCTCTCTATCTGTCTATCTCCATCTCCCCATCTCTCTATCTGTCTATCTCCATCTCCCCATCTCTCTATCTGTCTATCTCCATCTCCCCATCTCTCTATCTGTCTATCTCCATCTCCCCATCTCTCTATCTGTCTATCTCCATCTCCCCATCTCTCTATCTATCTCCATCTCCCCATCTCTCCATCATCTATCTCCATCTCCCCATCTCTCTATCTGTCTATCTCCATCTCCCCATCTCTCTATCTGTCTATCTCCATCTCCCCATCTCTCTATCTGTCTATCTCCATCTCCCATCTCTCTATCTGTCTATCTCCATCTCCCCATCTCTCTATCTGTCTATCTCCATCTCCCCATCTCTCTATCTGTCTATCTCCATCTCCCCATCTCTCTATCTGTCTATCTCCATCTCCCCATCTCTATCTGTCTATCTCCATCTCCCCATCTCTCTATCATCTATCATCTCCCCATCTCTATCTGTCTATCTCCATCTCCCCATCTCTCTATCTGTCTATCTCCATCTCCATCTCTCTATCTCCATCTCCCCATCTATCTCCATCTCTCTATCTCCATCTCCCCATCTATCTCCATCTCTCTATCCATCTCTCTATCATCTCCATCTCTCTATCCGTCTGTCTCCCTCCCTCTCTCTGTCTGTCTCCCTCCCCTCTCACTCTCTCTATCTCTCTATATATATATATATATATATATATATATGGTAAACTCTCCCGTCGTATTCGACGTATAAGGGTTAAGCAGCTCAGTTCCTAGGAACTAACAGCCCAGACACCAGCACATATGATTTGATTATATTGGTGAAGGCTTTGTGTAGAAACGACAGTACTTTTTTGAAAGGCCGAATACAAAGACCTGGTGCCACAAGGTCCCCAAACGACCCTCCGCAGGTTTTGAATTCAAATTTTTCCTCCTCCTAGACTATTTGCCGTCTAAGGCTATAGAATCCCGTCTGTCCTGCTATTTACCTTTCCCAAGGGTATTAGAACGTACGTGAATGTAATGGATTTGACTGGAATTCGAACTCTTCTCTCCAATCCCTCAATATATAGATAGATAGTGTGTGTGTTTACATTCGAGACGAGGGCGGCGCTGAAAAATTATCATCCCGACCCACTGCCCATTAACCAAAGATAATTTTTCTTTGAAAGAGTTTCTTGATCAAATCAGAAGCTTTTTTTAATAATCCCTTGTAGAGATATAACCATTTTCGTGTATCTAGCATATACATCCTACATTTCCAAGAGTATTTGTGCGAAATCGAATGCAACGGCCGTTGATGAACTTTGAACTCGACACGCCTATCTTATTTCCCCCGTCAATAACCACCAAGATACGAGCACCAGCCACATACACATAGACGTCCAAACACACATCTCCACACACATATTGAAAGAGAGAGAGATTTTCATGTTGAATGTGAATATTTTGCAGCGCATGGTAGGCCAGAGTTCAATAAGAAAAGCAAAAATGATGAATTTTTTGCAGAACAAAATCCAGCTTACCCCAAATTCAAGAGGGAGTGAACGCAGACCCACACATGCGCTCATGTTCGTGACGATGCATGTTTACAGTTATTCAAAATTATTAACTTTTGGCTATTTCTACGCGATTATGCAACAGAAATATATAATCGTGTAAATACAAATATACCATGTTAATTTTAAATCTCATGTAACCTCGCTCAAGAATACGTGTGCACGCAAACATACATACATGCATATAGTTAGCGTGTGTATGTGTAGAGAGATGCGTAAGTAGGGGCTGCTGCTCTTATCAAATGCATAGTTAAACAGTTTATTATGTGTACAAACTTTCTGCTCAATTTCTAAAGGAATTTGATCTTTGGCAATGACAGGCAATTAGATATCAGGCAGCAGAAATGCGAAATTCTTCAACATTGCTCGGGCAACATAGCAGCAGCCACAAAACTCTTGTAAATAACAGAACGAGTTTGTCCTGACGAATTTAGGATTAGAATTAGGAGTTCACATTTTCCTATCTTTGATTTCAGAAATAGAAAAATAACTACGAACAAAGTATATCTGGATAAAATAAAACATATCACAGATTCAGTTTTAGAAAATGAGGCCACGAGATGTCTGAATATAGAAAATCTGTTTGAAAAATTTATGGAAATATCTTTTAAAAATGAAATTAATGAAGACCATTACGAGAATATTGATTGTAAACAAAAACTGAACTTAAAAGGAGAGGAATTAACAAAAATTATTATGAGAATATTGGTGATAAAAATGTCGAAATTTAAACGGATAAGAATTAATAAAGCAGCATGAAAAAAAAGTTTTATTAGAAATAAGAAAATATGTTGAAAATATTTAATCATAAATTTAAAATGATGACTTTAAGAAAGATCCAATGGCTTTCAAGAATACTGAGTGGGTAGATCATCATTTTTACTAACGTCGCATTTTAACACATTTTGAGAAGAAACTAATCAACTCTATCTCTCTCTCTATATATATATACACACACACACGTATGTATGTATGTATGTATGTATGTACACACACACACACACACATATATATATATATATATATATATATATATATATATATATATATATATATATATATATATGTGTGAGAGATAGACGATTAGACAGGTTCGCCTGTCATCCGGTTCATACTCGGTGTTGATGTTTAACTCTTGTTTCCTGTTTAGGATTGTGTTTTCAGTTCCATCTAAAGACTTTTCATTCCTTTCACTCTCATTAGCCCCTTTGGTATTAGTGGCATTATCACCTTGCTTGGGGTGAATTGATTAGTAAGAAAAAAATTATTCGTGAATGGACAATTTTTTTTAAAATTTGATAACATATATATATTATTTAGAACTGATGTATATCTGATAACCAAACCATGACACTGGATTTTGAAGACTAAATTTTCTAAGCACCCTTGCATGTGTATATAAACACAAGTGTGAATTCTAATATTGACTTGATCACGCTTCAGGAATGAGCTTAAGTAGTTTTCGTAGTTTTTCAATAAGCTGGAAGACCGCTACATTTTGCTTTCTGGTTAGGAAGAAAATCTTAAAATGTGGGATGATATTGTGTTGGAAGGATTCGACGTTGGAAATTTTGACATAAATTGAGATATTGTTCAACGTCGCCTAAGGACAGTGAAAGAACTGAATATGACGAGGTAATGGTAATATTAGCCGTTTCCGTATAATGCGACACGACTTAGTCTTTTCTTCGCTCCCTAGCCATCGGGTTAAGATCAAAGTGTAGTATCTGTTCTCCTTATCACTAATTGTAATGGTAATATTAGCCGTTTTCTTATATGGAAACATTCGGCATTCATTGACCGAGTAGACAGGGCTACCTACATTCACACGAGTCTGACGCGACGTTGTGTTACAGTCAATCTACATAAGAATCATATATTCTCTGATATTCATTTTATTGATCAGATAAAGCAATTATATAACGTATAATCAAAGAGTTTGTCTGCTCCATGACTATAGTCTTTTGTTAAAGTTGTTAGAATCCGGCCAGGTATTGAATGCATTGGATACCCGCTATGTTGTATCACACACATTATTGGTAACAGCAACAGAGGACCTTACTGCTGTTAATTTCACGACTCGACAAAGTGACATTATAGTCGCCAAAGACAGTGAAAGATTACAAACAAGAACGTGAATGTGCATATTTGTATGCACAAATATGCATACAGATAAATAACTCTGAAAACATGAGAAGGTAATAGAAGATGCAGGTAAAATTTTGATTGCTTATTTTCGCTGTAGGAAAGCACTTCCCACTAGGACGTTTGACGTAACACAATCTTCCTATTTCATTTCTCCTTATTTGGTATTTTGCTGTATTAGATTAAGCTTAGTAAATCTTAGAAAAGATAACAAGGAATTGGAAGATTGGTTAATTGATAAAAAGATTTTCTGAAGACAAACAAACACACATCACTGGAAAATTCGAAAGTTATAAAGCATAAAGAATGAAATTACTTGTTAATTATTATAGTCAAGTCTATGTTATGTATGTATTATTTACTAGGCGTAACTTAGTTTGGCACAAGGCCACAGGTATGAAGCAACCAAAATAGACCTCACTCCTCACTAGTACTGGCTAACTAGACTATCGTTTTCAATATTACTCGACACCGGAGCACACATTGCAAAAAAATAGAGTCGACCATAGTTGGAATCATCGTGTCAATGCGAATGATTCTTTCCTTAGCTATATAGTATGCGTCAGATCAACATACAGTTTTGAATTCAGAGTTTTTCTTCTCCTAGACTGGTTGCCATCCAAGGCTACAGAACCGATTCTGTCTTGCTATTTACCCATAGCTGGAGGGAGAAGAGATGATTCACCCCTTTGCTAAAGCTATTAGAACATAAGTGAATTAGTGAACTCAACTGGAATTCGAACTCGGCTCTCCGATTCCGCAATCCATAATTCTACTGTGCTTCTTACACCCATATTACATAAACAATTATATCGTACTTCATTGACATAAGGTTTGAACAAAAACTAAATTGTTACCGAAATCAACTTCGATCCTTTTGCTTAATTAATTATTCATAAAATAAAAGCAGTTTTTATGAATTACTTTTTATTAATCAGGCGGTGGATCCACTATATAATTTCGAAGATGCGTTATATCTATTAAAATCTATATTGGAAAAAAAAGTAATAAAAATAAAACCAAATAAAAATCCACAGAGCAAGAACTCAAAAGTATTTAGGTTTCTCTAATAATTTTCCAGATTATTGAAATCTGTAACACTAGCCTCGATATTTGTTTCTTAAAATTTAAATACAAGCATGCGTCTGAAAAAAAAATAGAATTAGATTAGAGAACCAAGGCATACATTGCATTTAATAGCCTGCACTCCCGCTAACATTGAACAACATTGACATGGATACGATCCGAGCATTCTAAAATCGCGCTAATATATTTGCATGTCGGTACTAGGAATCTTTTCTAAACGGGTTTTTCACTTATAGACCACAATCCTCAGCGGATATAAAATAAAAATTGACAAAGCTTACATGCATGTAGGCCAGAACTGTCACCGTTCGTGTTTATACAATGTAACTAATGATTAAACAAGACTTTTTTCTCAAAGAAAACATCTTGTTTATTTATTTAGTTTTAACAGAAGAGATTTCTATCTCTGTGTATGTTTGCTTGTGTGTCTCCCTGGCTTAAAAGATTAGAGAATTTAATAAACAAAGTTTAATCAATATATTAGTATTGCTGATTCTTTATATTTCTTTAAATCCTTTTGTTTTTGATTCTGTAGATGGAATGTTATTTAATACTGTTGACGCACACCAGATTTGCATAAACAAATATTTATTAATGAAAAGATTATAAAGAAAGGTCTGTAATGTTATCGGTGCTGACCTGGCATCTCATTTTCAGTCACTTTCCCGCCACTGTGACGTGACTTCCCGCTGTCTTTTCTATAAACATTTTCATGACAAGTGTTCTGATGAGCTTTCCTCCTTTGTGCCTAGACTGCGTGAATATAAGCGTATTACTAGATTACCAAATAGGTTTCACTCTGTTGAACTAGTTAGATGAACAGTAAGTTCTATTCTGATAGTTTCTTCTTTCGCTGGTGGAACTCTCGACCG